TATGGTCTAGATTTTCTGTGAAACTAAACTCATAATTCTAAATAGAAACCTGCAAAAAACATGTCCTTAAATTTTACTTAAAGGCACACTATGCAACATTTTTCAGTTAATTAATGTGTTCCATAACGTTATGGATGATTAAATGAGTCATTTCAGGTTGAACAAAGGTATTCTCGGCCGCCCTGGTGGTCTGTGGGGGAAAAACCGCACTTGCAATTGCAGGAGCACCGACCCGCACCCACAGGCTCAAAAGTCTCGCGAGAGTCGGTCTTGCTTTACGGCGAGAACTGCTACACGCCCCCAGTTAAAAGCATTCTTGTTGCTAGCACAGTGGCGATCTTTGTGCAGCGCTGCTTTCACACCGGACACAGCAAAAGCAGCAAAATCGCGTCTGCTGCTTCATTTTTACTGCTTGTACCAGTTAGTTCTGACGCGCGGCTGAAGCAGCTTTGCTGCTCTGGTGCGCGGTGCAAAAGTGTGTCTGACGCGCGTTGGGCGGAGCTTCACTATCCTTTCTCTGCCTTGCAGCTATATTTGCTGTGATCAGTGGGAATAAAGTAGTTTTAATATGTTTTTAAGTGAGAAAATACACCTGAAAACGTAATCAGTGCAGTCAGTTCCTCCAGATTACAATCCTGCCTTCCAATATTTTTTCTGTCGGAGCCGCTCAGACCCCCACATAGCAGCGGTGCGCCGACAGTTGGAATCCCTTCATCAGCAGCCTCTGGCTGGGTCGCCTCCTCGCGGTTCACGCCGCCAGCTGGTAGGTGTTTTTCATCTAAATAATCCAAACTGCATATTCTGCCGGCAGATTAAGTTAATTTAGGCGTCAATAAACTGTTTAAGAGGAGTGATCATAGCGCTCTGATCATCAGCGCTGTGTCTCTCTCCCTGCCAGCTCCCAGATCAGCTTCTCTGATTGGTTGAGGCGGCGCTTCGAGCAGCAAAAATAAAATTTTTCCATCTCGAGCAGGAGCGCGTTTGCGGCGCGTCACACGCGTTTTCCATCTCGAGCAGCAGCGCGTTTGCGGCGCGTCACACGCGTCAGATGCTTAAACGCGCCCGACGCGCTGCTTCAGCTGCTCAGACGTGCTGCGCCTGCTGCTCAAAACGCGCCGCGGGACCTTTTGCTGCGCCTTGACGCGCGTCAACCATTGACTTTGCATGTAAACTCGCTGCTTCTGTCGCGCCAGCTGCGTTCGCCTGTCTGCTAAGCTCAAAACAACCGCGCCTGGCTTGACGGAGAAACCAGGAGAACAGCTGAGCATATTTACGACAGTGCACTTTTACTTTCGCCCTCTGGGGGGAGTCTCGCTGGAAAATCAACACCGGTTGCATAGTGTACCTTTAAATGTCTTTTAATGTTTTACTTCATAATATAAATATAACATTTTCAATTGTGTTTGTTATATTACTTTAAATTCATGGAACAGGTCACTTTAATCTTGATTTATTCACTATTGGAACTGATTTTGCATATTTTCCCCCTCTGATGCCATTTCTTTTTTTGTTTTTCTACCAGACAACTCTGCTGATTTCAAATGAATTGATTCCCATGAATATAAGCAGTTAATGTTAAAATGGTTTTAACACCTCATCTTTCAGCATTGATTACTTATTGTGTTATGGAGAACTTCCCCACCTGACAGGCTTTTCATTTCACAAGATGTTACCTTCTACATGACAAAGATTTTCACAAGATATCTTCTTCTGCTCTATTCATTAGACACTTTGACTTTGATAGTATGATTTTACCTTAACACATCTTAAGAACTTATTCAGCATACATAATCATGCTTTTAATAAAATTCTAAAAACAGAACTATTTGTATAACAGGAATTAGCAGCAACCTAAACAGTTTTCTGACTGAAAGATTGTGTTTATTTCAACTGTTATCAAAGAGAAACAATACTTTTCTACTCTCTAAAATGTGATACTATATTAGTATCAGTAATAAATGTTAATTGGTGTCATGTTGATGTTGAAAAAAAACCCCGTATGTGTTCATATATGTATTGAGCACATTTTAAAGGCACAAATCTTATTTTTCGCTTTCTTTTTGCAAAATAATTTAAACTCGGCCGTTCGCTTGTGGTGAAATTAGCAAAAAAAATATTATCAGCCAAGCTTATGAAATTACACAACTTTAAAGAGAAATTATTATGCTTCCTTTTTATCAGGTTAGGATGGATCAATGGGATACATAAAAGATATTCATTACATTCTCAGATAATGAGATTTCACCTCTTTAGTTCTGCCTATTTTGAACTCCTTTAAGAATAAGCTGTTTTGGGCTCTGTGATTGTTATGGAAATAAGCTGTATCAGGCTGAGTTTTCCCTTTTATGCAGAAAATCTTTCCATTATTCAAACTGCTAAACATTTTTTTACAATTTGCTGAATAAAAAAAAAAAGAAATAGAGTACATACGATAAATAAATGACTCTTTCTATGCATAATCCTAGTAATGCTTGTCGAAGTCCACTCCTGTTTTTCTTTCGATCGATTAATGTTAAAACTTGAATGAAATAATGAACTAATAATTTTATTTCACAAAAAACGATGGAAAAAGAAGCACAAATTTAACATGCAAATATTACAATGAATGTCATATAATTGTTTTATGCATAATTTAGCCCTTTTGCTATAAAACTTGGCTACATAAACAACATTATTCATAAGTCTCCCCTAACTGAAGTGCTTATTGCTAGCATTTCCTTTTCTCACATTTTAGGAATGTTTTATAAAGCCCTACATTTTTTTCTGTTATTACATCTTTACATTTCAGGCAAATTAGAGGCTGACGCATCTCGGTGTAGCACAGCTAAATGGCCACTATTTAGGTGATTACCAAAGGAATATATTTTGTGTTTATATTTACATACAGAAGCATATAAAGTGCATTCTGCACTAGAGATGTCCCGATCCAGGTTTTTGCACTTCCGATCCGATACCGATATTGTTTTTGGACTTCCGATCCGATACTGGCCGATACCAGCCTATCCGAGCATGTATTTAAGTTTAAGTTAAAGTATTTAGCCTTAGTTGTAAGACTCATGTTGAAAAGGGTTTTAGTACTCTTGATAACATCTAGCCAGCTAAATTAGGTGAGATTGAATAAAACACAATGCTTGGTAACAACAAACTTACCTGTTTATTAAGAGATAAACAGAAACTGGACAAAATTATGAATAGCAATCTGAAATTGCACAGTGAGCAGTAAAACCGTAAACAGTTAAAGGTGCAAGTATTACTGTAAGTTTTAATAAAAATGCAAAACAGGGTAACACTGGCGCAAAATAGTGGAATGGATCGTTTCAATCGACGAAACTGGAAAATACGCACCGGATTTTTTTTTAAAAACTGGATCGGCAGTCTGGATCGGCATTTTACATGCTTTGCCGATACGCATTTTTTTGCCAATATCGGCGTCCCGATCCGATCCACGTATCGGATCGGGACAAGCCTATTCTGCACCCCTGTTGCATTAAACAGCTTAAATATTCCAAGACTGAACATTTGATCCATTCATGTTTCTACTCTATTCTGTTCTGTCTATCATTGCATTGGGGGGAGCAGTAGAAACCCAAATACAAAAATGTTCAAAGTGATATTTTGAATTGCAGGTCCCCTCTAATTAAAGGGCAGCATCTATGTAAACTTGTCTGCCATGTTTCAAAATGGCAGACCTCAAGAGGTGACGTTACAAAAAATTCCACTTCCAGGAAATCTTGACTCTCTGTAACAGTTGCTTTAAATAAACAAATAACACCATATACTTCTTACATACCACACTGGTGCATCCTGGGACAGAAACTTTCTTCATCTCTTAAATATGGTGTCTGCTTTAACTTTTGCAGACTATATTTTTTCCCTCACTGAATCTGGAATCAAAAACATGCAAACTTAATATTAAAGTTTTATTGATGTCTAAGCCCCTTAAGAAGAAATCAGCTGGGTATGCTCTGAAATTTTAATGGAACAACTTAATTATAAGCCAGTTACACGGATTGCTGCAGATCTTTTCATGTTTCAACAGCATCCAGCAAAACAAGAAAAAAATGCTGCATGGCTCTGATTTTCTTACCAATCATTGGGTTTTCTTCCTCTTGTCTTAAATTGTCTAACAGCACAAAAGCTTTCAAGTTTTAAACAAGTTTTAGTGGATATTGTTCTGGTACAAAAATATAAACTTTAATTTTATTCTTACAGAATTGATTTTGTTTTCATATAGGGTTTTACAGTCTTCTGAGACGTGTCTAATTGAGATTAACCAATTAGTACTTTGTGTGCTTGATAAGTGCAATTGCAGCATATTAAATTCAGCGATATAGTGTATGTGTACAAAGCATATGGTTTCTCACACTAAAATTTGTTGTATTTTGATTGACTCATTCTGAAGTTTACTTAAAATTAATTTTGCTAGGGATAGGAAAGAGGATTGTTGGCCTAGTGGTTAGAGCATTGCACTTGTGCTCTGAGAAGGTTGCAAGTAACCGGTTTGATCCACACAGCCTCCACTCTGGGTTCCTGAGCAAAATACATAACACCACACTGCTCCCCGTGCGCCACACCATCCCCATTGTGGGACAATAAAGGAATTTACGTTTACATTGCATAAACTTAAGGGACATTTTATATTGTATCTATTAATACTACATAGAAACCTTTTTTATCATCAGATCAAGCTGAAGAAGTGTCTGATTTTGTTCAGCAGGGGATTTCTTGGTGTATTTCTATTATACATCTTTTTTAAACTATTTTGATCACAATCAACTGGGTTTTCCTTATATAGAAAAAGAATAACCAGTCTGTGATTGAATTGTCTCTGTAAAGTGACTTGGGAAGACACGTGTTATGAATTGGCACTATATAAATGAATTGCATTATTGTATACAATGCTGTGTGTGGAAGTAAATTCCTGCAGTCTATTTGATGTCTCTGATTCCTTTTCTTATCTAGATTTCGTCCTGTTTTCTGTTGCTTTTCTCTCTCTTCAGGCGGAGTATTTCAGCTGTGTGGCGACAGTAGTGTACATGCGTAAAGAGAATTGCTTGTATCAGGCATGTCCATCTGCAGACTGCAACAAGAAGGTGATAGACCAACAGAACGGTTTTTACCGCTGCGAAAAGTGTAACAGAGAGTTCCCTAGCTTCAAATATAGACTCCTACTTTCGGTAAGTATGATGCGCATACAGAGCAAACATCATCAAAGCTTGTCAAACATGCCCTGTGTTTTCTTAGTGATGACACCAACACACAAGCAGACAAACAGAAGTAATATTTTGTCTCTCCCATCATCTCTCGCTGTCTTGACTCTCAGGCTAACTTGGCAGACTTCGGGGATAACCAGTGGGTGACATGCTTCCAGGAGACAGCTGAGGTTCTGCTGGGTCGCAAGGCAGAGGAGCTGGGACAGCTCAGAGAAACAGTAAGACTGTCTCTCTCACACACACACGTACCCCTACAAAGCACACAAAAGTAGAAGCTGCCTCACACAGTTCTTCTTCACAATTTGGCCCAGGAGGTCTAACTGTAACGGACTGCTGCCTTTCAGAGTTTCCACCAGACTGTACCGCTGACTCTGTGTGTGTGTGTGTGTGTGTGTGTGTGTTTGTGTGTGTGTGTGTGTGTGTGTGTGTTGGTGTGTGTGTGTTTATTCCCAAGGACGAGGCTGAGTTCGATGAAGTCTTCCAGAAAGCCAACTTCAAAACACACATCTTTAAAAACCGAGTCAAATTCGAGACGTATAACGTAAGTAGAAATGAAAAGAAAATGGTTGCATGTTTTCCTGTGGGATGTAACTATGCATATTCAGCTGCATCAATTGTGATATTGCTCTGGTTCCCTGTTCTGAACAAATGCATTAACTCAATTAAAACACCGAATGCGGTGGCTGCAACAAGAGTGGTGGATTTACATATCCCTACTCTAAGGGCCGGATCTATCAAAGGTTTGCGTGTATAAAAACGTGAGCTATTTCACTGCGCACGCTAAAAAATGTACAAACTGATCTATCAACAGCGTGCTAAAAGGATTTGGACTTTAAAACGTGCTAAATAGCGCCTCTTATCCATTTAGTACTTTTTCTACTATGAATATGCAATATGGGGCGTTTACACGCAAAAGTGCGTCTTGTGGGAGGAGAACATGTAAATATATTAATTTAGCACTCGCAAAGTGATTTATTAAACCTGAAAGCAATTTTGCTAACGGTATCTGACTCTATATTTAACACGTTTCAAAAGAAGGTGCAAATGGTCTGCATGCGTAATTGCGCACACATGGCAGCGGTTATTGTCGCAAGAAGGAGACATGGCAAGGAGACGCAGAGAACGCATTTTTTCACTCCGTGTGAATATTTTTGAAATGAACGAGGAAACAATCATCAAAACATATCGTTTATCCAGCATTGCCATTTTGGAGCTGTTGGGGGAACTCCGAATGGATTTCGAGCCAGCCACAAGGAGGACCCACGCAATACCAGCTATCACAAAACTCCTTGCAACATTGCACTTTTTTGCATCTGGGTCATTCCAGCGTACGGTTGCAGCGTGAGCTGGGATCTCCCAATCTCGTTTTTTCAGAAGTGCTGTCCGTAGTGCTGTCCGACGGGGTCGGGGTTCTCCCCCTGCGCCAGTGGGGAAACCATGGTTCAGCCCCTCGCGCAAAATTCCAGTTTGCGAGCTCAAATTACTGCACGCAAAATTGGATCTTGATAAATCCGGCCCTAAGTGCGCTGCCAGGAGCACACAGTCAGAGTGCTGAAGTTGAAAGATCTAAACTTTTCTGTGTTGTTGCAAAAGCCAATAAAGAGCAGGCTGTGTTGTGGGTTGAAGGAATGCAGCTGACAGGCTTTTTTCAACCAAAATGGAAGAAAGATAAAATAATATTGACAAAAGATGAAATAAGGAATATTCTTAGCAGTTTTTTAGGTCGCTTTCAAAAAGGGAGTTTTAATTTAGCCCTACTGTAGAAGGACTGTTCATCATCTTCCCTTACCGCCAGTGCAGACACCAGCTTGTTGCTGTTGCCTCTCCCCTGCTCCGGCGCTCTGTCTACTCGGCGGCTACTCCAATGTACTATTGTTCTGAGTTCAAATCCCAGCGTATGGTCTCTGCATGAAGTTTGAATGTTCTCCCTGTGCATGACTGGGTTCTCTCCTCTAGAGCTGAAACAATTAATCGATTAATCGTGATAAATCGATTTTTGAAATGATCATCAACTAATTTAAATATCGATTAACTGTTAACTAGTGAAGAGACTCTAAGCGAGCAGCAATTATACCAAGATTGTAAAAATATATAAACATTTTGTATTAAAGATTTAAAAAAAAAATAAGGTGAATATTCTCTATGCAGAACTCCACAAGTTGAAAAGTCTGAGTTATACCTTGTTTAATTTCATAAAAACTCATCTTTAAAGAATCTTTTGCTCTCCATTTTATTAATCGATTAATCGAAAAAGTAATTAATTTGCAAAATAAACGTTAGTTGCAGGCCTACTCTCCCTGTACTCCTGCGTCAATCAACTTTTAGGTTAATTTGTGTGAATTTGTAACTGTACATGGTTCTATGTCTGTGTGCTGCCCTTTAATCCTTCACTAACTTCCCTTGAAATGGCAAAAAAGCACTAAAAGATGGGTTAGGGTTTTTATTGGCTCATAAACACTGCCATAGATACAAAGATCCTCATTTGTTTAACTCAGACACCTTTTTTGTTTTGTTTTTTTTAGATTATGTGCTTACTGTTAGGCAGCATAGTTGGTTGGCAGAGATGTAAAGATGCCAAAATAGGTTTTTGTTAAAAGAAAATCAATGATGACGTTTACTGTAATGTGTTTATTCCTGGGACTAATTGATGAAATTGCTGGTTTACAGGTGAACAGAATAAATTTTCTGCTTGACTGATTTACGAAACAACATACATTTTTTTCCCTCTGTGAATGTCCTTCAACTAACCAACTACTTTCCTCTTGCATTGAAACTCCTTTGGTGTGAGAGCAAGAGCACTGAAATGGCCAAATTTAGAAGCACCTGAAAAAATTATATCGTCATATTAGAAGCGATAATGCATGACATAAATCTCCCAAAAGAGGGATACGCAATCTATTATTTGTCTGTTACTGAACTGGAGTCCCGAGGTTGTAAAACTACCAAACAAGATGTACAAACACAATGTAATCACAAAACACTGTCAGTCACACAACATAAACTCAGAACCATTTCAATTAGTAACAGAGCAACAGGGGGGTTGTTTTGTAGCCAATGCACTTTGGATTGCAGAAAACAAATACAGCTGTGGATTCATTTCTCTTAATTAGGCGCTAATTAGCATTTAGCTATTGTCTGTCTATGCCTAATTAGCCCTAATTATTCAAAGGCCAAATTGCCACTAAGGGCACATAATAGGAGGAACGATTAAGATTCAGATTTATCAATGAAAGATCTGTGTCTTGACCTTATGAAATCCTGCAAGCAGTTCTTTGCAGATTTCTGTTTAGCTTTTTTCATATCCTCAAGTTTATAAAATAAGGTTTTTTCTTTCTAACAGAATAACTCCTAGTGAGAGAAAATGTTCCTGCTTTAGTCTCTAAAAGACCAAACATCATAATTATGTAGCCCTATTTAGCCAAATGAGGCAGAGATTTTGCAGCAAATGTCAGTGCAATACCAACAAATCTTAGCAGCAATAATTTTATTTACAAAACACAATACACAAATGTCAGCCATTCTAATACTTGGATGACTTTGCATTTATTTAAGGCAAAATCCTTTAATGAAGGATTTATTTAGTCATGCAGCATTGAAGTGTACTGCACCACACGTGCTGTTATATTTGAAAAATTCTTAAAAGAAAACTCAGAAAGTCTTTTAGCAATCTAGTTCAGCCCCCTGTGTTTACATGCACCGATGATCCAATTCAATGGCTACTGTGAATGTTTGGCTTTAAAAAAAGGGAAGATGGGATATGTGCATGGTTGGTAAAAACATCCAGCAGTTCATATACACTTTTTGGATGTCTTTCCACTTTGAAAGTATTCATTTACTTAAGCTAATTATTGGACGTAATTGCCATTTATATATGAAATTCCAAATGTTAACTACAGATATTAAAAACAGAGTTTACCTGTAAATGAGAAAATGACCCAAGTAATTGTATTGATATTTGGTTTTGTCATACTACTTATATCTATAGCCATCAGATCTTTTATTAATAATGATATACGGTTTATTTGTAACAATATTTTGCATTGAGTTCACCCAAAGCATCAAAACTTTCTCTTTAATGTACAAAAATAAAACTTTATCACATATTCATGTGAACATATTACTATTTTTAAAGCCAGTTTGGTTCTCTTTTTCATCAAAAAGGAAGAGTGTGGAAGTTTCTGTGATTAGTTTCTTACTATTTACCACAAAAATAAGGATTCTCAACAAAAAAAAAACTATGGGAAAAAATTATTATGCTCCTTCTAATTCATGTTTTAAATTTTTTTTAAATATACTGCTAAAAATTGCCTTTACCTAATTTTCTGAAGTAAAAAAGGGAAAAGAATCAGATTTCGTATTTATTTTGCCTATAATAGGCTCATCAGATATAGATAAAATGAATACTAGAATGCTGCATTTAAACTCATTAAAAATCTTATTTTCTCTCTGTTCGTATCAGTGCGCGCCGTCATTCTGACAGCGAGCTCAACAACAGCCAGATGCATGTCTCGCTCCGCCTAGCTAGGAGCTAGGCGGAGCGAGACATGCATCTGGCTGTTGTCAGGTTAGTAGGCCCTAGCTGTCAGGTCATGGTGCTGCGCGCACTGATACGAACAGAGAGAAAATAGGACCAAGTGATAACGACGTGTGACTTTTTCCACTACAATGTTTTTGGGATGCAAAAATATTGCTCTTTCGAACACATAATGTTTTGGGAAGAGAAACGTTTTATTTCGCTGGGTCTAGCAAACCTGCCGGACTACTTTCGGCTTGACCAAAGCTGGACGAGAACTCTGCTCACAGGATGCTGCCAGGGGTAAGTCAGTGTGATTGCATGACACTGGTGATGGGGATGCCATACAGATTCATGTCAAAAATCCCGAACTATCCCTTTAAGAGGTAATTCAGGTAAATCTTATTGATTTAGATGTTTTACAACCAGAGACATATCTACAGTAAATTTGACAGAATTTTGGCTGAGAGGAGTTAGACTTCACTATTTTACAACCCAGGATGGTCTAACCAGTTTATAGGCAGGTCAAAGTTCAAACTAAAAGATGAGATAAATCAGCTGCTCCTGTTTCTCTCTTTCAAGGAAAAGTGAGATCTTTGTTGATGTAGGTTGATTTAGAAATAAGTTATAGTGAAATAGCAACAACAGATTCATCAAGTTTTTGTTGCGGAAAATTTAGGTCTTATTTTTTGTTACACCAACTTTGTTTTCCTTCTCCTTAGGCTTGTACATCATTCTTGTATTTTTCAAAGAAGTTTAAGGTGAAAAATTATAAATTTAAATGATAAATTCTTAGAAACTCCTACAGTGAATCTGGAGTGTTATGTTGTTACCCACATTGAGTTTTATTATAACCTGTTTCCAAATGGTAATAATTTCCTTACTAATTATATAAAAACAAAATTGAATTTTAAAAATGTGAAAAAGTTTTTTTTATGTGGATATATTGATCCAATTTTACTGTTTTTGATTGCAGTCTGTAAATGATCCCCAGATTATAACAGCACTCCTTCAGCAGAAGCAACTTT